ACTTTGATCTTTAAAAACATTGAATAATTTAATATAACCAATTTTATAGACATTTTTATTGAACTTTTTCCATAACTTTACGGCATGGAACCATTTTCCTTCACGGTTTGTATTAGTGAAATAACATATTTTGTGAGTGAAACAAATTTTTCAAAAACGAAACCAAAAATTTCTTCAATGATCATAATATGTTGAAATGTGTCTACATAGTTATTTTTATTCTTAGGTTCTACTGAATGAAAAGAGGAAATATTTGGCCAACCTAAATTTTTTCTTCTATCACAACTTTTTCTTATAAAGTCAAGCAGGTAACATTTTCATTCTAAGTGCCCTGTTTCTTTGTTGAATTGAATGTATTGAATGTATCATCTCTCCCACCAAGCGATTTCCTGGAGTCTTTGAAGTCCACTAGATACTCGTTAGGACAACAAGAGGATTGCTCCGAATATGGAAAAATCCTCAATTGTTTACTTTGTAGTAAATGTTCAAGAGGTAGCAAGAACGAATGTGATTTTCTGAAACTTCAACTAGCGTTTCCTAATATAACTGATAACCAGTCCGTGCAAAGCTTATTGTTGAATCATCTGAAAACGGAACTTTTAACGGGTGATGATCAACTGTATTGCCAAACATGCGCCAAACTGACTGACTATTATAAGAAAACAAGTATAGCTGAGGCACCAGTCAACCTAATAATAACACTGACGGAAGCACCAAACTCTTACGAAGGTTCGAAATAGATGAACACTTCAATTTAGTAGACCACTATTATACTCTTCATACAGTCATTGTTCACTGTGGTTCTGGCGTTGAATCTGGCCATTATTACTCATTGGTTAAAGACGAAACAGACTGGTTTAAATTTGACGATACTCGTGTCACTAAGTGTTCTGGCGATGTCTTGAATTTATTGGAGCCTCTGGAGATACCCTACATTTTGTTTTACGAAAAAAAGGACATTGGTAAATCAAGATCTTCAGATGATATGGTGCTGCAAGTTTTTCCGGATTTTCCTGCAGCTGAAAAAGCAAATGCGCCACTGGAATCAGTGAAGTCGTCCCGGAGCTGCACCTGCTCAAACTTCATTGCTTTGCGAATTCCTGGCCAAAAAAGACTGTAACGATACCCCAGTCTTCATATTCGCCAGACATGACTCCATTTGACTTATTCCAAGTTCCAACAATAAAGGGCCGTCATTTTACAGGCATAGATGACATAAAAAGTGCATTGCTGAAAAAGTTGAAAGCTATCCCAAATATTGAGTTTGAGAAGTGTTCCGAAGATTGGAAGAAGCACTAGCACAAGTCCATCATATCTAATGGGCACTATTTTGAAAGCGACAACATCAATGTAGACGAATAATTAATTGGATATAATTTTTGAAGCAGAAATTTCCTTATTTTCGGAACATACCTCGTATATCAGGATGCGACGACACCACATCTATTTGCTCACCAAAACATATTAAATTACAACTCTTTTTGGATATGCTTCGATGATTTTGACATTTGAATCAATCATCCGAATTATACTTCTTCAACAAATATATGGAATTAAACTGTTGAATCTGACATTTCATAAAATATAACTTTTCAGGTAATGGCTATAAAAGGTCAGATACAAACAATTATCATATTTAATGTGAGTTGCTGAATTTTTATTACTTTTCAACCCCTGAAAACATATTTAATTGCAAAAACCAATTACTATATTTTTCGCCACTGAAATCAAAGAGATGATGTTTAAAATATGAAAATAAACGTATCAAATAATTTCTTTTGGTCTAACACAGATAATCCGGAAAATTCGATAATAGTTCATATGTTTTGTAGTACAATAACATTGTTAGTGACTTCAAAGAAATGAGTTTTGGAAAGTCAAATAGAGTAGAAATAATACATAATCAATAATAGTCCAGTAGATAGCACAGCGCTAGACCTTTGTCATTTTATCAAAAGCTAATATGTATGACACTTTCTATCGAAACCATAGAGATAGCCTAAGGAGAGTCGTCATCGCCATTACTTTTCGAACTTCCATTGTCTAAAATGAAATATGGAAGAATAAATGAAATAAAATGGATTGAGATGCTGAAATATTTGAAAATCCTATAAATAATATAATCAAGTAAGTAAAAAATAAAAGTACTCTCAAAAAATGTGTAAAATGAATAGCAAAAATTGTAAGAAAGCTGATTTGTGAGGAGAACAAATTATTGTGACCTGAAATAAAAAAGTGAATGATAATAGGTTAAACAATGGGTAAGTGAAATGGTGATTATATACGAACAATAAAAATACAAAAAAATTAAATAATCAAGATATAAGAAGAAAAAATACAAAAAAAAATTAAATGAGAGAAAGATTTCAAACCGAAATTCTTCACGGTGTTTCAATTGATAATATCCAAAATCGTCTTGGGTGATACGATTATTCCTGATAGTTGAGACTATTCATAGGTAGCTTTTGACTGTCCCAAGAGCCCAAATGAACATATTAGTGTACAGTTTGGAACAGGTAGCCAGATTTTACATATGTTGAATCCCTCTTTTGGCTGTGTTCACGAATTGGATAGTAATATATGTAGGCGATAGAAATTCATAAACACAGACACAATTTTAATTGAAAGGAAGATGGATTTATTATTAGTGAAATCTGGCTACATCTTCTGAATTGTACCTACACAAATTAGGCACATCAATTTAACCAATAAAAACGAAGCCACGCCCATCAACAACGGAAGAAATCCGGTGAAACTTTCCAATAACTTAATATCCACTATAATTGCCTCATCACCTTTGATAATTTCTACCGCAGTAGTACACGAAACGTCAGACATAAAAACCTGCAGACCACGGCCAACACGGTTCACACCTTTTCGTATGCCGAGTGTCAGAAAGATAAAAAATTCACCCATGAAATTATCTGGTGAAACAAGAGTATATACATAGTAGAATTTTTAACAGACGAAATACTTATTCTTGGAAAATGAACAATCGAGTAGGTATACCAAATGGCTAAACATCAATATCATTTTGGTTTTAATATCTGGGTTGGGATTTTCGCAACACGTTCACAACTATCCTCTTACCGCAACTTCTTGAAGCCCGATGTGGAGGACACCCCAGACAACTTACAAACATTATTCCTATCAATGTTGTGTACTTGCACACAATCCCCTAATCATGCGGGAGTACTTATTGGACATATTTCCAAGAAAGTCCCTCATTTACCGGATATCACACCGCTCAATTTTTTGTATCTGAGAGTATTTTAAAATTATGTTTACCATCATGTTTTTGATTCGGATACCTGATATGTTGAATTCGATTGTTAGATGTTACCTTTGATTGGAAAATAATGGTCATTAGTTTGAACATGTTTCATTATCTACATATATATTTTTTATATGGATTTTAGGTCACTTGTTTAATGAATGAACTCGTGACGTTACCTAACTATATAGCTGGAGATTTCATTGAAAACAATACCTATCTCACTTCATAAAAATAAAAGTTTCTCTAATTTAACCGTATCTTTTATGTATTCCGAGATCTCCATAATACGAGAATACATTTTTATTTTGGACTAACCGTATAAAACCATTTGATAATAGTTTGCTTAGGTTAGGTCCAAAGTGGGTGGGCCTATTCGACCCTTCTCTGCAACCCACGAGGATTCATTGTGACACTTACAAAATATATTTATTATGCATAAAGAGAAACTAATTTACCCTCATTTCTGGGAACTGTCCTTGGTACGTATTCAATGGAAGTAAAACTTGGTCCGCTAATTTGTGACTGAAGTCCTGCCATAACATATCTACCGACTGTGTTTGCACGTAGACAAGATCGTGGCCGGTCCACTGGCTCTCGTATATTTCCCCAATAGCTTCTAGGAGAGTTTTTGAAGCTGCCTGGCACGCTGAAACAAAAAAAATACTTAGGTCAGCATCACTGAACATCCAAAGTTTTTCTATAATGGGAAGTTTCAGAAAGAAAAAAAAATTGATTAGACTTGGAAAACAACTGTTACCCAGGTTAATATGACGACGGATATTGAACCGCATATTCGAAGCGACCTCTAGCAGCATATCTGTTCTTGAATGTGAAATGAATTGATTTGTCGAGAAACGTCTAATAGAGCCTGCCCATAGTGTGTAAAGGAAACAAAAGAGAAATAGGGAAATAATCAGATTATGTAGTTTTTCAATATTAAATTTAAGATTGAGCCGAAATATCATAACAATTTCTCTTAAAATGTCTAGTACAAAACTTGAAACCCACTGAATTTCTTATGAAGATATTCAAAGGTGTCATTAGTAAACAGAAACCATTTATGTGATGGAACTGCCTGGCACTTTGTGTCATTTTCACTGAACAGTTTACAAAAACTGCAACACTACAATAATTTCATTAGGTGTGTTCATATACAGGGTGGGCCATCGAAAACTTGACATGGGAGGTTTTGTGGTACTAATCTTGCAAATCCGAAAAAACGCTCGGACAGGTCGATTTTTATTGGAAGGGGAAAAGTTTTTTTTCCCATTTACAGCGTCGTCACTTCAACCCCGGAGCAGAGAGGTGAACAACCCTTGGAATTTTAATAGGGAATAGGGGGCGAGTCGCACATCGTTTGAAAAATCTTGGAATTCTCTAAACAATGGTGTACATTTTTTTAAATTTGGACGTATTTAAAAGAGTTCTTTCCGGTAATTAACTTTTTCAATATTGTTAATAGCAACAAATTGTTGTACGCCACTCAGTTGGAATGTATTTGTATTTCATTTATTTTTTACGATACTTTTTTATTTTTTTAGTTCTTCTCTGATAAGAGGACTATTACAATTGAGAAATGGTTAAAAATGCTGTTTCTATTTCTCATTTTCATGTTAAAAGTGATATCTACATTAAAACTAGTAGTAAGTGCCGTAAAGAAACAATGGTTTACTCAACTGCAGAGAGGATTGAGTTGAGTGAACTGGAAATATGGAAATAGACGTTGTGCTGCGAGAGCCGCTGAACTGTTCAATCAACAACATGGGAAGAATGTGTCGCGACAGTATGTTTTCGATTTAATTGCAAAATTTCGCGCAACTGGATCTGTAGCAAATAAAAAACGGCAAATCGAACCACCAGTAACAAAAGAGGCGATACAAGTAGCAATTCTAGGCCATGTTGAGCTTGACCATACTTTGAGCAGAAGAAAGTTAGTATTTGTTTCCGGAATGAAGATGATTTCGATCAACGCTTGTAATTTTGCGAGTTGGTTAGTGAACGAGCGGTGTTTTCAACATTTGCTTCAGTGATGAATATTCTTTTTTTCCAAATGGCACAGTTAATCGCCATAATTGTCGCTATCGGGCTGATTCAAATCCTCACATTTTTCATGAAGTGCATACTTAACGTCCACAAATATTGAATGTATGGGCTGGAATTTTTGGTGACCGTATTGTTGGCCCATTGTTTTTAGAAGATAATTTAACCGGACAAATGTATCTGGAGCTTCTGGAAGATACTATTAATCCCCTTCTCACTGATATTACTGAAAATGATCACAATTATCGGGAGGATCTGTTGATATTTCAACAAGATGGGCTCCTCCACACTATGCTTCGTCTGTTCGGCAGTAGCTAGATCAGACTTTTCCGGATCACTGGATTGGGAGGCGTGGCACTATCGAATGGCCACCACGATCACCAGACCTTTCGCCCTTAGATTTCTTTCTGTGGGGTCATTTGAAAAGCAGAATTTACTGTACTTCTCCTGCATCACTCGAAGATTTACGGCAACGAATTACAAATGAATCACTCCAGAAATGCCCCACAATGTTCGAGAACGTTTCCAGCAGAATCTCTATTATTGCATGGAAACTGGAGGTGCCCATTTTGAGCATATGTTAACATGAGAATATATTAAGTAACTTCAACTCTAAATTTAATATGGTTCGTCCAAATTAAAAAAAATGTACACTGTTGTTCAGAGAATTCCAAGATTTTTCAAACGATGTGCGATTCGTCCCTAGTTCCCTATTAAAATTCCAAGGGTTGTACACCCTCTGCTCCGGGGTTGAAGTGACGACGCTGTGAATGGGGAAAATTGTCCCCCTCCCAATAAAAATCGACCTGTCTGAGCGTTTTTTAGGATTTGCAAGATTAGTAGCCAAAACCTCCATGTCAAGTTTTCGATGGTCCACCCTGTATATGAAGAGGCAGCCGTGCGTTCCAGTCACACATAGAGCGAACTTACTGCTAACATGGCGGCAAGCCGCCATCGAAATATGTAATTTGATGGCAATCCATGAAAACTCGTTTTTTATGACATTCGTTGTCAGCTACAAAATCAGTAAAGAAAAATTGAATTTTACCTACACCCCTGAATAAAATAACAAATATTAAAATGTATTATTTTCATACATATAGTTTTTTTGTCAGATATTTTTGATTCTTAAATTTAATAATAATTCAATTTGACTCGAGTTTTAGAAATAGGCATTTATCAATGAAAATTTTCAGGGTGGAGTGGTATTCGTAAAGATTATTTCCTGAAATATTCTCAGCTGAATACAACGATATATAAATACAATTGAGAGTTCTTAAATCAAATAAACTATATCAATTGAATAACGAAAAATTTTCTGTAAGAAAATATGCTTTGAAAGTACAATGTTCGAATTTACAGTACGATACAAAAATATGGACTTAATTCGATATTTCAAAAATAGGCGCCTTTTGGAAAAAATCCAAAAACACGCCAACTTTGATTTTTGACGGTCCATATCATGATATACATATGAGAAACGTTTCGTCAGCGGTGTTGACGTAAATGCGTAATCGACAATTTTTTTAATGCAAACAGGGGTCATGTGTTACCCCATTCAAAAGGTCAACTAATCGTATAATCGTATATTCAACGGTATAATTCTTCCAATATTTATTTAAACAGGTTGAACCAAAACTTTTTATTCATTAAAATACAATAAGATTCTAATAAATGTACAAATTGATGACCTTCAGCAATAATGCAATGTGAAAGTCGGAAAGTTGCGCAATATCCGTTTTGATGCGTTCCTTCAACTCTTCTAAATCACTTGGTCGATTTTGGTAAACTTTGATCTTTAAATATCCCCACAAAAAAGTCTAACGGGTTCAAATCCGGAGACCTTGGTAGCCATTCGATCGGTCCTCTTCTTCCTATCCACTTACCTCGGAAAACAGTATTCAGGTAGGTTCGTACATCAACGTCTTAGTGTGGGGGCCCCATCCTACTGAAACCTCAAATCATTTCTATTTGGAAATAGCTGATTCATTTGTGGNTATGATTTCGAGATTTCTTAAGATCATATATAAATTGTTTGTATTCAAGGAGGAATTTCAATTGAAGGATTCTTTTATTTTCGTGAGGTTATGTGAATCAGTGAAGTGTGGCAAATTGTTTTTCATTTCGGTCTCCTCTATCTGTTCATTGTATTGTTCTTATAATTTTGAAAACTGCTTTTAAACAAACGCTTTCGTATATAACAATTTCAAATGAAATTCCTTGACCTACATACGGTCTCGGAATTTCATTAAATCATGAAATATGCACCGCTTTTAAGTATAATGATGAAAAAGTAGAAAGCCAAAACCTTTATTTTCCATTAGATATGTATAACATTAATCATTCAAAAATAATACGAACCATCGGCTTAAAAGTGAGAACCATTGGATGGCGATGAAAAAGATGACTGAATAAAAATATTTACTATAATGGAATGAACAGAGTAATCAGTGAAACTAGAAACATTTCAAAGTTTTCACGAGAGGAGCGTTCTACATCAATTCAATAAATTTTTTGCTGTTCTTGGAATCCGTCTGACTTTTCCATTTCTCTCAAGCCTCAGAAAAACACTGTCGCCCCATGAGCACACTGCGTTTTCCCAAATTTTTTTATGACACCCATTCCAACAAACTTGTTCTCTGCACTAATGTGTATTCGTTGGATGTTTGTTGTATTCTTTTGGACATACTGTGGTTTGTCCAGACCGTTTTCCTTCTGCGATCCGATGTCTCACAGAACATGAGGAACTGTTTCTGTCCTTTTGCTGCATTATCTTCAGGTCTACGTTGTACAGTCCCATTTTGTTCATTTAATTGGAGAAAACAGTGAGTAAAACATTGACATTTGGTCAAACTTGGCATGCTCATTTGGTCTTGGCTCTCCTGGGCTCTTCCATTGGGTCCATTGGACTTTGGTTTCGATATCATAACCATATACTCTTGATTCGTCACCAGTTATGGCCCTTTTGAGCAAATCTGGATCGCCTTTGACGCCATTCAACAAATCCTAAGCGATGCTCATGAGACGGTTTTTAGTGAAAATTCACTAATTCTGGAACGAACTTCTCTGCCACACTTTTCATGCCTGAAATTTCCGAAAAAATTGCTTGGCATGAGCCAACTGATATGCCGACATCCTCTGCAACTACTCAAATAGTGATTCGACGATTTTCCATGACAATTTTCTTTACATTTCTCAACATTTTTATCGGTTGTTGAGGTGCTGGGACATACAGGGCGAGCTTCGTCATTCACATCTTCTCGACCTTCTGTGAAAAGCTTTTACCACTTGCAAACATTTTTAGGAGTACAATCGCCGTATGCCATTGTCAACATTTCAAGTGTTGATGAGCACAAAAATTGATAAAAATTTTCAATCCATTTTTTAGATAGTAGAAAATGGCTGAACACGCAAAACACTTTGGCTGAACACAATTCCAGCTGCTAAACAGCTGGAATGGGGAATGTTCCTCAATTTGGGTTATTACAGCAAATGCAAGTTTGAACAAAATAAAGTTGAGTTTAATTCATGAGTTTCTCAAATTCACTTCGAAAAGTATTCAAATTGATGTTTCAGATGTTGGGTTTTGATTTTTAAAGAGATTTG